CTGACTTGGTTGATGCATATCATCGTATCCCAATTGCGTGGATCGATGCTCATGATGTCAATCACTGGATTGTCTGGTGCAGACTCGATTATTTACAGGCCGTCGTCATATAGCTGGAATATTGCTGAGTGCGGCGTTAAACGACAAACAAACGAAACAACAACATACGCACGGTGTAACCAGCGAGGGGTTCTCTCCTGTCTAACAACTGGCTTTACCATTCTGATATCGATGATTTGTAAGTCACATTTATGCATTCCTGAAATATTTGTATGCTAGAGTATACATGATATGTGATATTGTTATGTCAAATATATTTTGTGTTGTGTCTTTGTTGTGTCCCATACATGTACACATAGGTTATTTTGGTTGGTCATAATCAATAATGTGCTATCTTCTCCTTATGTTTGATCAGGGAGTCTATATAGGCTATATTTGTACAGTCTCCCTGGTTTAATACATAATATGTCACCTTTGTCTGTCATAGACGCATGTTTTTTATGTGTCAGTAACAGCTTATTCACTTCAAAGCTATCTTTCTCTGTTATATATAAACTTATGGGGGAAAAAGTATTCCCAGTTTGTCTTTTGTGAAACTTAGAACTGAAAGAACTGTTGTTCATTTGTTTATAACTATTTAACCATCACTCGTTCCTGCAACAGTTTGTAAAAGTAATGTCTGACTGGGTAATTTTATATAATTTTTTAATGTAAAGGTCAATCACATGGCCGCGAAATTGACCTTCATAAGCGTAGCGTATGACCGACACAATTTGACGTTTATAAGTTTTTGACGAGACTCTTTTTCATACAGTTTGGCCTCCAGTCTATGAAGGTTCATACTCCAATGAACTCACACAAATTAAAAGTCAATTCTTCAGTAAAAATATATTGGTTCAATAAAGACTGGAGTAAGAAACGAATTTGCGACTTATTTTTCAATTTTTAAGTCAAATTATATTGTAGAAGTATTCTATAAATGCCCACTAAGCGCCAGTACAGTTCATTGTTAAAATAATATCGCTAACGTAACGTTAACGAGCCTAAATTTATATACCAGCTGAAAAAAGTAAAATGTGTTTCATATAAGTGAGTGAGTGAGTTTGGTTTTACGCCACGTTTAGCAATATTCCAGCAATATCACGGCGGGGGACACCAGAAATGGGATTCACACATTGTACCCATGTCAGGAATCGAACCCGGGTCTTCGGCGTGACGAGCGAACGCTTTAACCACTGGGCTACCCGACCGCCCCTGTTTCATATAAAATGTGGTAAATGTTGTGTTATTGACGATAACAACATGGTATTTGGTCATTCGTTTGATCAATGTTTTATCGTAACAAATGTATTGACAAGACCCATACCAAGTAAATGAGACAGAGCGAGAGGGGTGGTGTTACAACTCAATTAACAATGTCAAATCGGGTGTGACCACCAAACGCGAGGGAGTGGCAGTGTATTGAAATACATCAGACTGGGAGATGTTGTTCCAAATGTTTACCAACGATTGGGCCAACTGAGCTAGCGTTACCTGGTTTGGGTCCTGCCGTGGGCGTTGTTCCATCTAACCCCAGACATGTTTTCTTGGACAGAGTTATGGAGAAACAGCAATGTTGTGCTGCCTCGAAAAGTCTGTTACAACGCGAGGGCGTGCATTACCCTCGTGCAAAGTGTCGTTTCGCAGCAAACCCACGTGTCGTTGACGTTGATTTCAACAAGCCGTGGCATTAAGCGTTATTGTAAGGTTAAACAAAAGTGTTTTTATGAGCAACTGATAGCTTCACAATCATTGTGTGATGTGCACATTAAAAAACCACGTGAGTATCATGCTCCCGAAAAATACGCAGACATCCAAATTGTGCGCCATGCATTAACGTCGAGGAGATGTCTTCATGAATATGTTTAATTCATTTCAGAATAAATTATTTTTTACTGAATTTCATATGAAACAAACGTCTCTTTTCCAGAATCTCCCTCTCTCTGTTTCTCCCCTCTCCCTCTCTCACCCTTCTGTACTGATGTAACTGTTATCAGAAAGGCTGTCCCCGAAGGATTCTTTGACATTTATTCAGAAAGTTATTTCAGAAACAACTACACCCTGTCACGATAAGCACCTCCACGTTGAATTTCCGATCCATCAGAAATTCGTAATCCAGTAATTCACATCTATTTCCCTGCAAACAGAACTTCCTTCGCAGCGCCAGCTTCCAAATTGCATATAATTGTCGGGTCGCGGAATATAGCCCAATGCTATTAGTCACACGTCAAATAATCAAAGGGAACACGAGACTTGGCGATTAATAAGAACAAACATCTAAGCCCGTCTAATGGACATGTTACAGGGGAATCCGGGGTCTCCTTCAATAGACACAACGATGGCAAACGAACCTGATACATCTGAGATGAGAGCTAACAGTCTTGCAATATTCAATAATGGATGTACATCAAAAACATGTGTCTCCATTGTTATCATTAATCTGGGAAATTACAAGCGTGGGGCTTCCAGTCACTAGAGCTGATATTTGGTCAGTTCTACCAAACCTCCCACAGGGAGTTACGTGTTCTACCAGGGCATCTCCGTTATAGTTGTTGACTTCTGGTTTTACGCCATTGGTGTAAACCTTTGAGCTTTATTATGAAGAGTAAACACTATACACAAGCAAAGGCTTACTTTCGCTGATCGTACTTGATAGGATCAGTATCGATGGTTCACTGTCTGAAGCTATCCCCGTCTCTCTTGGTCGCCCTTAAAGGGGTGCTGACATCAGGCAATGTGAAGGTTTGAAGGATGTCATTACCACACTTATACAGGGAATTGGTATTAAGATTATCATAAGATGTAAGGTGAGGTGAAATTGGGTTTAACGTCGCGTCCAAGATTATTGCACTTATATAGCGACGTGCATGTACGTGTGTGTGTTTGTGTGGCTGCTTGTACTAGTCCGGACTGATGCCGTTTTATAGTGCTAGCTCACTGAGATACCATGCCGCAGTTTAACATGAATACCCCACTCAGACACAGTATACTGACTCCGAGCCGACCAGTCCTTGTTTTAGCCCCTTAATGCCGAGCGCCAGACAGGGTAACAACATGTACCATCTTTTAACGTCTTTTGGTATGACGCGGCCGGGGATCGAACCCCGGACCTTCCGCTCTCCGGGCGGACGCTCTATCATAAGATGTAAGAATTGCAGTGTCCAGATTGGGTGACAGATTATGAAGTAACGTCTGATGCTGCTGAGATGCTTTTTTACGCCGCAGTCAGCAGTTCAGCTACATCACCGCGGCCTGTTCATGCTCGAGTCACACCATTGGTGGATAGCACGATGGAATATACCGGGGTACGATGACACACGGCCAGTCAAGTAATAGCGCGTTAAACAATCGTTCACCACATCAGGCATCAGACAGGCATCGGGTCGGAGTACCCACAGGGTGATGGCATGGGCTGCATGAATAAGCAACTGACGAGCAGATCGCCACCCAAATATCCCAGCCATCGGAGTGGTTACCATTGTGCATGCAAGCTCCTAACACACAGAGTTATTATCCCATTGTGCAAGATATCTCGAATAAGAACGCATAACACAACTGGTAATACATGACAGGACAAGTTTACCATTTTCGCGAACACCTGGTGTCATCACTGATTTTCAATTATCCATTCATGTAATGTTCTTGCCTTTTTCTCCCAATGCAGTCTGTTTCGGCAGATAACCAGATCAGATCGATTATTCACTGGCGTTGACTTGTGAATATGATAATTATGCAATTAACTCAAACATGTCAGAGTCTGGTCGACCATTGGGTCATATTCAAAATGTTAATGTAGAATTCAGGTTAGGAGACTGAAGCAGACACGGATTCAAATATATTCAGATAAGACTCTGTATGTAATAAGTAGACTATTGAATTCGGTAGGAAGTATTTTCGAGACTGCCTTGCCAATGTACTAGAAACGAAATTTACTTCATGCTCATTGCATTGACTCATATATGACGAATATATTTCGAACGTTTTTCTTTACCTATTAACAGCGGAATCTCTGAACTTGTACACTGAAGACGTAGTTGAAACTTAACATGTTTTTATTTGTTTCAACAACATCAGTAAATGCACTATCGTGTCACCGGATGTTCTGGTTCATAGGTCACGTGATTGTCTGGTTTGTTTGCAGGCTGCCGTCGCATTTGTTTTGCAGGAGGACTGCTGTGCGGCGTTGGGCAATATAACTTTTTTTTAATGCAAAATGTGTGTATGGCGGGTGCTCCCGGTAGGGCAGGACATGCTTACCGAAAACTTGGTGTCAGCACTTATTTTCAAGAGGTCCATTCATAGAATTTTCACAGCAATTTTGCCCTTAACGCCAAATGGAATCTGTTTCGGTGGATAATCTAGCCTGGCTATTTTCTTAAAATGATCATTTCTATTTGCAAGGCTTTCTCTGGCAAAGTTGTAACCACTACTGCTTTCATTACTTTGTATTGCAGGAGCAAACGTCCCAACAATAGATGTTTTTGTTTGTTGTTTAACGTCGCACTCAGCAATATTCCAGCTACATGACGGCGGTCTGTAAATAATCGAGTCTGGACCAGACAATCCAGTGATTGACATCATGAGCATCGATCCACGCAATTGGGATACGATGACATGCATCAACAAAGTCAGAAAGCCTGACCCCCGATCCCGTTAGTCGCCTCTTACGATAAGCATAGTCGCCTACAACAGATGTAATCTAGCATTCGTGTAGGCTCGCCATCACGTGGGGCACCTTGACGTGGAGTGACATGGACCCATTTGGCTATGATGAAAGTTATTTGCAACTTGCGATATCGCTTGACTTGACACTGGCAGTCCTAAGGAGCAGGGATAAGATGAGAGGCCTTTACATCATCCATCTTCCTTGTCACATCCATCACCGAGTTATCCTCATTGTTTCAGCAGCAGACAACATCCCCCATTCACTAGCGTGTTGAAACAAACAACAAACACACATGTACTAACATACATGTATTTGACATCAGTAGTGTGGCTTCGTGTAATACAAGGTAATCAACGTAGTCTTGTTTCTAATATAGTCAAGTCAGCAATTACGGCATGCACCACACATGGATCTCTATCTATTCTAGTGTTTTCGTTGCTGAGAGTCTCATGTCCTGGTCTTGCATATGATACTGCATATGTGTGTTGTGGCTTCTCATATTTTCCGATAGAACACGAAATTCCTTTTAGGAATTGGTGTAGCTTTAGTGTAGGCCAAAGTGGACTTTAAACCCACTTCAATCTATACCTCTCTGACACTGTGATAAGGTTCAACCAGATGTCACAGAGGGCTATAAAAAACACGTTATCCATTTACGCCAATTTGTTCCAACTCTATCTTAAGCCTTCTCCTAAATCTCTGCCAATTATAGGATAAAACATTAAAGCCGAGGGCAATTTTACACCAATGCTTTCACAGGGAATCTTCGTTGTTGTCACTGGTATCCATCACAAATCCTCAGTTATAACGGATAGCTCCATACAAGGGACACCAACACCCACAATCAGCCGGCAAGAAGTAACACCAATTTCCTCTTCATTAACGGTATCAATCCACGGCTGTCTCACAATGTCCGAAATTGTCACCGTCTTTAACTTTACACATTAATCCTTTTTCACACGGGCACATAAAATCCTCTGTTATCACCAGGCAAAAATATTTCAATTTTCGAAGTGGTTGACACTCCGTGAATCCAATTGCATATTTACTGACATCTGCATATGTGATAACCTGTAAAAATCAAAATATGATATTTGAATCAAATGTTCATTTCAATATTCATATATACAGTATAAGCGAGTAATTATAATTGTGCTGCAAATGTGAGATGGTAATATTCATGTAATGTCTCTTGAAGTTACATACAGGAGAATATATAAATGTCCATATGTATTGAATAATTATATTTTGTATCTAGCATGATCTATTTTTAATCAAATTAGACTTTTCAGTATTTTGCATACCCACATGTATATAGTAGGATACATTGATGAGACAAAACATTGATGTCAACATCCTAGCTTCATTGCGGACATATGAACTGGACACAAATATCAAGTTGTTATCAATATACAATCTGGAGCCTAGAGTGTCATAAATGACAACTCCGTCTCGTCTTGTAATCGTTAATCCCTGCACTAATAGAGCCATCGAAGCAGTGGACAGATCGAGGGATATTTGTACTTTGTATGACACTCATGTAGGATTGATATGTTAGTTCCGTTGATTGAGTGTTGGATTGCAACAAAACTGGTTCGATTCCAACATTCGTTAAAACAGTGCGAATGTCACCTCTCCTGACAACAAAAGTACTACAGTAAACTACGGTTATAACGAACTCAAAGGGACTACTAATTTTAGTTCGTTATAACCGTAGTTCGTTATAAGCATAAATACAACATAACTACAGGAAATAGTCGGGACCAAAAAGTAGGTTCGTTATATCCGTCAGTTCGTTATAAGCGTGTTCGTTTTAACCGTAGTGTACTGTATTGCATTATCAACTAACCAACACGCCAGTGTCACTGTATCTCAGGGGGCACGGGTGGCCCAGTTCTCTAAGGCGCCGCGATTCGCTGTGCAGAGTTGCGTCCCTTGGGCACGCCAGAAACCTTTGATTGTGGGTTCGAATCCCGGTTCGCCCCAATTATGTTTCTAGGTTTGTCAGCACCATACCCGTGCTCGTGGGTTTCACCGAAGTGGTAAACGTCTGAGACCTGCATCACTTCGGGCTTTCCTCCCACATTAAGCTGACACGCCGCGATATAACTGGAATACTGTTAAAAGCGGCGTTAAACCCAACTCACTCACTCACTCACTCACTGTATCTCACATGAACAAAATTGCTTCACCTTTTTGACACAACAGAAGTGGTCAGGACATGTGGAGTTCCTGGGGTCGCAGGACATCGCAGGTTGGGGGATGTGGTCCCCGTGACCAGGGGCCGAGGAGGCAGGGAGCACTACAGCTAGCATCTGAAATATATGATACAAGTCATAAGCTTCTGCTTAGGGTGGGAAGACAAACATTTGTCGCTAATTCTTCACAGGCAACGTTCACCAACTGTTGTTTAACAGATATCTACATTAACCATGAACACACTCTAAACCTTCGTTACTGTTAGGTGCAGTTACATCTACGAATGACTGATGCGCAAGATGTTGGTATAGTGTGAATAACAATGTAATAATGTGTGAATTTGTACAGCGACAAATCCATCCATTTTAATACTCCCTGGGGAGTACACAACCTTGAGAGGCGCAAGACAGTTACCACTCACAATACTATCTCAATCTACCGGGTACCCATTTACTGCTGGGTCAACAGAAGCATATTTCGAACAAAGCCATTTGACTGAGGAGACACCAAATGAGCTACATGTGCTTCAGTGTGTGGTAGGGCCGAAACCCTAGAAACTCTCAGAAGCCAAGATATCGAACGAGGCCCCCATCCAACTACTCTCCGCCGCCGACGTTGCTTAACTTCAAGTTTACAGAATATCTTATATATTCTCATCATATGGACGTTCAGTTCAAATCGCGTCGATTCCAAGAATGAACAATACGAATTTTAAATATATATACCTCAGAGTATTGTTTTCTGTGAAACCTTTATAATCTTTGTAAAGAGATACTTAATGTTTATATCGAGAGCAAACTGATTCTTACTTACGTTTATCATATGCTGGGATTTAGCCGCGCTAAACTGAGTTTGGAAATGTGCACAGTAAAGTTTCACATGTTACATTTAGCGTGCGTAAATCTGCAGGTAACCTGGCTCTACATTAAAAACACAGTATATTTATCTCCATTCTATGTTTTATCTTTCAACGCGAACTCTTTGGTGAAGATTTTGAACAAAGCGACATAGGCCGTGTCCACATTTTTTGCGTGGGTTGTCGATCTGATTAAAGAAACACCGAAAAAAGCCTTTAGGGCGAGTGTCACTGTACATGTTCAAACATAGCTTTTTACATCCTAATAGTCACACGCATATACGACAAGCATTGAATGTGCGTAGCCCATCTACTTTGCAAGCCAAGATGGAGTAGCTACCCTAAAGGAAATTAAACAAGCCTAGTTTCGTACTCCACCGCGCGTCACTATTCTGACGAGCCACCGCTCATCCGGAAGCAAAAGATGTGACGTCACAGACGTCAAGCTCTCGGTTTTCCCTATATAGATCACTCTCTTTGTCGAACTGACAAAACGTGAATGATGTAGTAACCGCAATTCTGCATTTGTAACCTACAGTTGTAAACGTCGTTATTCTGCGGTGATGCGGCCGTCAAATCACCTGTTTCAATAAGAAGCGGTTTGAGATTTGAAACCTCTGATTCACTTCAGATAAATCGACTCATGCGACCAAAGAAGGTTTCACTGTAATAATTGTCTTATTACAAAATATGAAGTGTTAATTGAGATTTGAAACCTCTGATTCACTACTTAGAATCCAGTATTTTCTAAAGTCATAGTAGAATTGGGCTTTATGTCGACTTGTGCCGCACACCACAGATAAATGGACCCATGCGACCAAAGAAGGTTTCACTGTAATAATTGTCTTATTACAAAATATGAAGTGTTAATTGAGATTTGAAACCTCTGATTCACTAATTAGAATCCAGCATTTTCTAAAGTCATAGTAGAATTGGGCTTTATGTCGACTTGTGCCGGACACCACAGATAAATGGACCCATGCGACCAAAGAAGGTTTCACTGTAATAATTGTCTTATTACAAAATATGTCCCCGTGTTGGTTTCACCTGCGGCACTGTGCGAAGATTACAACTTTGGAATTGATTTGAAGTGACCAATGATATAAATGAGGTTTTTTTTCATTAGGTTACAAAACTTTTACATTGATCAAAATCCAGTATGGATTCTAAAGACTGCAGAAAAGGTTCTCATCCTATTGGAATCCAAAAGCACTTCGACCATTTTCTAAAATGTTTTACATCACGTTCTACTAACGCCTCTTTTCTCGGCTGCAGCAATCAGGGTATTTTCATGGAGCATCACATGAAACCCATGTCTAAGACCTAATTCCTGTTCGTGCCGTTTACAGCAAATTACATCTGTGGCCTTTCTCTGCTACCCACAGTCCATGGCCATCAATTACCCTGACAGTGTTTTGTAGATTAGGATCCCAACCTAAGTATTTTCTATCCCATTCGCAGACTATATTCCACCTATTTATGTCCTATTTTGTAGTCCGTGAGTGACTGCTTATAACCCTCGCTCATTTGGTCTGAGTGAAATATACCGCTCGTGTTATCGGTCAGACACATACATTAGAGTTGAATAACTCAGCTATGTAATTCGGTTCTATCCCCTTCTGAACAAGCTCAACGTCAAATCTGATTTAAACGCTATTATTGAATTGTACATGGTCTATTTGAAGCAGTGCTTTCACTCCTGAAGGGGTTGATACGAAGGTGAAGCAGTGTTTTGCAATCAGTGAACATGGGTGAATTATTGAAGACCTGTCTTTCCAAGGGAAAGTAGAAATGTGTTGTGGTAATTGTGGCGATCGAAGCTTCTTTGTGTGTGTCGTTGAGGAGTAAATGCTGACATGATTCTACAGGGGATTAAGCAACCGGTTACATCAGTCACGCTGATTTACAGGCAGCGTTTATAGGCTTAGAGTGTGATATGGAAACACCGGTCACTGATACAGTCATCCTTATAAGGAAACTACGGTTGTAACGAACTCAAAGGGACTACTAATTTTAGTTCGTTATAACCGTAGTTCGTTATAAGCATAAATACAGCATAACTACAGCAAATAGTCGGGACCAAAAAGTAGGTTCGTTATATCCGTCAGTTCGTTATAAGCGTGTTCGTTTTAACCGTAGTTTACTGTATAACATGCCAGGCACAAGAACGTATACACTTGGAAATTGGATTTGACCCCAAAATTACAAATGGTCTAGGCGGAAAACAGTCACAGAAACACTGCTTACTTAAGGTTCAAAACAAATCTAAGGATACCCGTATCAAATACGTTACCACCCAATAACCATTTCTTGTTCATTCTTAGCAACAATCAAGTATGGTTCGTACACAAAATGTATTGAAGGTCGAATAAAAAAGCATTGAATACTTTATAAAACTATTAATGTGCTGATTGCCCAATAGCATAAACTAAGCTCAACACTTTTGTACAGAATATCAGACATGACTCGCTTTCTTTACGGTTATCCTACAGGGGTGCATTTCATACAATATTGAACTGGTTTTCAATTTCACTATGTCTTATATCGTATGAAGGAAATGCACAACATCTAAATTATCATCCAAATGAGCAAACAAGTCGAAATGTTTGTTTTTCCAAATTCCTCATTCCAGTTACTGATGATGAAACAGTAGATATGTGGTCCTCTCTGTTTCTCTACAGATGACAGATCTAATTTCAGGGATGAATCCTATAACTCCTCATTGAATCAGATAGCATCATTAGCTCAAGGGATGTAGAGTGACACTAGCAGCTGTATGACAAATAATTAACAGCAGCACGAGATTTGTCGATTAATATGAACAAACATCAGCGTGATGTTAATGGAGCCTGCTAACGACGTTGCTGAAAGAAGCGATGAAGGACCACATGCTCAGCACACAGTGGAGATTTTCAGATATTGTCTCAAAAACACATCACAAACAAGGTTAAGATGATTATCATCATAGAATTTTACTTGCATAAACTCACAGTGGTGAGACGCAACAATAGTTAATATTCAAAGGAACGACTGTATTTTTTTAAGTGTTTGTTTTCAAAAGTCAACACAGCTGAAAGGCTTCTGTCCAAAAAACTGAGAAGTCAGCACTAATAAAAATAATATTATATGAAGGTCAGCTGGAGGACAATAGATGACTTTAAGTGATGACATCATTGTTTCTATCAACACATATAGTCGTGCAATGAAAACAGTTTGTATTAATTTTAAAAACCTTCTTGTGATGGTTTTCGTTAGATTCTTGTTTATGACTTGCAAAGGGAGATTCATATATAACAACTTCTGTCGACAACTGTTTCAGCACACAGCAACAATTTCTGATCTTAACATGACGTTACGTTTCTTAAGAAGGCGAGAGAAGATTTGACAAAGAGTATCTTTGTCCATCTTCCCGAGGTAAGGTCGTTTACTTACTCTAACAGTCCAGTTTTCACGCCTGCCGAACTAGGCCGGAATGTCTTTGCTCGATCGTAGCTCCACCAGTGGCTAATACGAGTTATGTCCCTTCTATGCCCCTCCTATTGACCAATCAGGTTCTTCTTATATCACATGCATTTGTTTCAAACAAAACGGCGGCGCCCAGTCGGGACGCTGTGATCGATGATCAAGATATATGTTGTAATAAAACGGGTCTTATCTCGCAAAGTGCATCAAATCACGTGAGCACCTTGATTAAAAACATGAAAAGATTTGGAAAATATCTGTCGACGGTACACATCTTTTGCAAATCCTTCATTCGACTCAAACTCTGCACGTTGAAATCCATGTTGTGTACGAACCAGATGTCGATTTCGTTACGTGATTTTGATCGGACTATGCATCGACTCGTTGGTGCAGGCAAAAGATAACTCCATAATTCCAGCCTAGTTCGGCAAGGGAGGAAACTGGACTTTTACAGTCAGTTAACGCCCTTGCCTCAGGAAGATGATGCTTGTCTGGCATGTGAAGTTTAGTTTTTTCTGATATATACCCGCTGTAACAAGAAAAGCTGTCAATACTCGAGTCTCTACTGACTATCCTAATTTTAGTCGATTCCTACGACAGGAATTGTTATATTGGGGTACACATCCGATTATTTCTGAGACTTGAAAAAGTCACGGATGTTTGTCCTCGCCTTTTCGCGAACACCTGGTATCATCACTATTTGATAGTGATTCAGAGACATATGGTCATGATATAGTGTGAATCGTATAATCGACTCTGCTTTTTGCACAGATTTCTTTTGAAGGCTTTTATTTTCCA